GTTGACAGGTGTCTGACTATTGAGCTCATTCGCTGCCTATAATATCAAAATCAGGCATTTTGATGTCAGAAACCTCTTCCATCATCATCACACTTGATGTTATAGAAATTTGTGCACCCCTGCCCCTTTCAATATTTCTATGGTCTTGCCTTCTGTAGAGTAACCAATTTAAAACTGAAGTGAAAAAGATTCAGAGGATGAAATCTCTAATTCTTTTGAAACTTCTACCTCAGAAGGCAATGGAAGTTGAATTGTTGAGCAGGTTCAAGACAGAAATCAGTAGATTTCTTGATAATAATGAAGTCAAACGGTACGGAGATAGTACAGAAAAATGACATTGAAGTAGACAATCAGTTGCAATCTAAATGGATGAAGAAGCAGGATCGATGGGCTGAATAGTGTACTCCTGCTCCTACATCCACTTAATTGGTCAACAACTGTATCCGTCTGTGTAGTGTTCCACCAAACATTTGCATATAAATGCATGCATTTTCTTCATTTCACAATTGGTGGCCTTTTCTTGACTAACCCCTGGGTGCCTTTCTTTGGGCTTCCCTGCCTAACCTCCACTGACTTCATTGAATTCTCTTCTACATTACAAAGATTTAAAAATTCTGCTCTTCAACCAAGCTTTAGTTTCATCCTCCTTGTTGCTCCTTTTCTGCTCATTGTCTTTAATCCACCTCATTAACTAACTACAATGCCCCTCTCGTCCATGCCAACTGGATTCTACTATTTGCCTTACTTGGAAGAACTTGCCACTGCCAGGTATCCTGGAATTGTCCCACATCTGTGACATCCATGATACTTTAAAAAGGCCATTGTACACCTGGAGAAGGACTGTCAGTCAGAGCTGCCCTGCACAGTTCATGACATTTGCCCCAAAGGTGGCAGGTAAGAGGAAATTGGCATCCCACAATGCAGACAAGGCACCTGGATGTCCTGGTGAATGGGGGCATGCAGGACTGGCAAAGGACACCATGCCATCAGATAATGCAATCCTAGTCCGATTTTCCTACCTGGCTCATTCAGCATCAGCTGTCTGGAGGAATACTCAGCAGTCAAGGAAGGTCAAGGACCTTCTTCAAAGTCAAGGACTCTCCATTCCATCAGCATAATTGTCACCATCTGCACTCACTCTATTTCTCCTACTGTACCCTCCTGCCTCTGGGGTCATGGTCTACAATTGTCACTATTACATGCAACATCTTCCCTCACTCACTCTCACCAGTCCAATCGCCCCCATTACTGACCCTATATGCCCTGTCCGCTGCCTGCTCACTCCCCTGGAACACCTCACCACCTTCCCTCTACCCGCACCAGCATTAACAGCTGTATAACCCGCTTTCATCTCCAGTAATGCCTCTCTTTCTCTCATTCCAGGAGTAAATGCCCAAAAGCAGGCAGAAAGAACCATGAGAGAACTGGGCTCCCTGATAGTGGGCTCCTCACATTCTACATGGAGAGAATCCTAATTCTGATCATTCATGACTGACTGGTTGGCTGTGTCCAAGCCCTTAGACAGGTGTTGTTGTCTGCCTGTACTATGCTGTGACACCTGACTAAAGGGTGTTTCTCTGGACTTGACTGAGGCCTTCTGAGAATTATTACAAGCTTCCTGAGTATGCATCTGCACTAAAATGACAGGGCAATACAGACCGAGGTGAGCCTGGTAACTAAGGGGTAGCAGACCACAAAAAGATCAAGCAAGGATGGGATGACATGAGCAACCAGGTAGACTCAAAGTGAATGAGAACTAAGGGGATAAACAAACAGCTCTGAGATGCAGCCTGATCCAGTTTGTGAGCTGGGTGCCTGTTCCTGCAGATAAAATGTCTCTGTGGTAGCATTTCAATCATAGTTGCCGGTGACTCTGAGTTCCAGCTTTAAAGTGTTGAGGCAGTATGTAAATATGCTATAATGATATGGGGTTTTGGCACAGGTTGGATACCGATGCCCATGGAAAATGGCTTGAGATATTGGTGCCTGGTGTCCAAGAGAAGCAAACAGTGAGCTTAAGTCACCAGATACCCACTCTAACATTGTGTTGGAAATTGTTGATGTTGAGTTTCCTTGCAGCAGGTTATAGGATAGGAAGCTGCATGTTAAGAATAAAATTTGAAGTTAATGAGACTGTTAATAAGCAATAATCTCTCTTAATAGGAAACTTGCTGCTCTGTAGCCTGATGCCTGGCACTCCATTTGAAATGACAACAAATTGTTGTCAACATCAGGAAAGGCCTTTCCCAATTTCTCCTAGATTTCTTGCCATAGCCCATGTCAATCAGTGCTCTATATGATTCAGTTTGAATAGAATAGGATAGAATAGAATAGAATCGAATAGAATAGAATAGCAATTTATTGTGACATGCATTTTTACAAAAATATACAGTAAAAAGTTTTATAAGTCGCCATACCGTGGCACCTAAATTAATGCCAGAAGACATAAACAAGAAGAAAAAAAAATAAAAGTTCATCACAGTTCAAATAACAGCTCCTGGGCTCCGGTGTGCTGGAATACTGGGCTGAAATCACCACGCATAGCTGGGCCAAGACTGCCACGCCAGACTGACACTGTCCCACCATGCCATGACGAGACCTCCACACGAGGATCAAACCTCCACACTGGGCCACTGGCAGACCTGGAAGCCGCCTCCAAAGCCATGAGATCTTCATGCCAAGATGAAACTTCCGTGCCAGGACTAGATCTTCACACTAGGCTGCTGGAATATCCAGAAGCTGCCGAAGAAGACTTCTACACCGGGACGAGATCTCCAGGCTGAGACAAGACCACCATGCCAGACCGAGACTGCCACTTCTGGACGAGGCTACCGCACTGGGAGACCACCCCTGCAGGCACCAAGACTATGCTGCCATTCTGGACCACTGGAAACCACCTCTTCACTGGGCCTGGGCTGGGAGAAGATGCCTTCTGCTGTAGTCATTAAAAGAAGAGTTGGCATCATAATAAATGGAAATATTTAAAAAAAAACATAGAAAGAAGGAAAGGTAAAGCAGACAGAATAGATGAGCTCTGGGCTCCTGGGTTGAGCCCATACGTTGCACCGCTATTCCACCGCCATCTTGGATGTCTATCTGTGAAGTACCTCAGGACATTTTTTACATTAAAGGTGCTATGTAAATGCAGCTATTTTATTCTTATGAAGACAACAGAAAGCTCTCGTAAAAGGAATTAATTACAAATCAAATTATAATTCCAATCCAGAAATTACAATTCAGCTTCAAGATATTAAACATGGTCATTTAGGTTGAAACATCTCGAAGCACTTCTGACTACAATTTATTTTTCAAATACAGTGCTTGATACTCTGGGGGAGAAATTCTATCATGTATACCATGTTTAATGATGCCACCAGAGATAGGTAGCACTGCCAGGTGCCACTTGCATGAATTTCAGGGCTTTCTTCTTGATGTCAAAAAGCAGAACCATGTGAAGCCAACTCTTCCCTTTTGTCTTATATGCATGGGCCATTACTAAAGGTTATACCCAGAGTGGCACTTGGTAGATATTCAATGGACTGATTGTGTGTAGCAGGGACAATGTATAAACTTATGTTTTGTGAGAGGGGGGAACAAATTAATTCCTTTCAGCCTTCATAACTCCACGAGAGTTCCGAACCACCTCCCCTAGAAATTCCTGCACGTTGAAAACACCCAACTTGTATATATTTTAAAGAATTCAATTCATCATATTATTAAAAAGAGCTAAGTTTTAAAAGAGCAGAAGGTGGAACTGTCAAGTGGATGACAATTTTCATAATTGTATTGTGTTCTCTTTGATAAAGTTCAATGATCATTAAAATGTTTTATAATGAATAATACAAAAAACTATGTCATACAATTTTGATGAAGGCAAGTAGCCTTACCAAGCGTAAATCAAAAAGTTACATTTTTTTCTGTTAGTAATATTATTAACACAATCTCTGACAAAATGTGTGTTCATAGCAGCTATTTGTTAAGGGAAAAACATGCTTCTATCCTTGTTTAGTTTTATTTTCTATGGAAGTCAGAAAAGCATAAAATATAAGTTTGAAATGGAACTTTGGAACATATTGCACTTTTTCATAGAAAATACATCTGTGACCTGTAAGGTCATTATTAAATAGCATTCTCAAAATCTCCAGCACAACTCAAGCCTTTACACTTTCAGTTTTCCTTCTGAAGATTCGTGCATTTGGATGTCTCTAGAAGTAATATTGTTTCTTCTCCCTTCAATTTGTCTTCTTAAAGATTATGACCCACTCTTCCCTGTTTCCTCCAAATTCCAGAACAATGCATGCTGGTACTTTCCAATCCATCACACGTTGTTATGACTTTTGTATCCATTTTGCTGTTCTTTATGTGTAAGCCTGGACTAATCCATCACTTCCAAATCCAATCCATCATCTCTATTTATCCTCCTCCCTGAATGTCATCTGAGTTTGAAGATTCTGGATAAGACTGATCTCCAGATGGAAATATTGCGACCAATTGTAACACTTCTACTAACCCATCCTACACTGATATCTCAGCACAGACAAAACCAGCAGTGCAGGTTGCAGTGCAGATTCCCAAAGCATAGCTGATCTATCAAAGCAAGTACCTAATTTGATGGTATCTCAAAGATAAAAAGCAGAAATAATTTATATTACAAATGTAAATGAGTCAACTTTCCCCTCTTGAAAATGGCTTAAAGCAGGAAAGTCAGCCTGCTTGAAACAAATTCATACTTAACCCTGTTGTACATATTATTGAAATACTATTGATTAAATACTAATTAAGAAACATTCCCCTTCAGACTGATATCATAACTTAATATTTTGGAAATCATCCTCAGTTTGGTGATCATAGCACATCCTCTTATCTTTAAAGTGAAGAACTTCAATGTTCTCACATTCAGCTTCTGGTCTAAAAGTCTTGGAAAGCTTGGCATATTGATCAACCAGAAGTTTATAAATGACATTTCTTTCAAAATGATCATAAAAGTAGTTTTTGATTCTTCACATTGTTGCCCTTAAGCTTCTTAACTTCATGTAGACAGTTGAATTAATATCCAATACTAGCTCAGTGCTGCTTCTGAATGACACCAAGTATCGCCCTGTGAAAAAATACAACTGTTATTGATCTGGCTATCTTAAACTCCCGAAATTATCCCTTGCTTTACTTTATACCAACATTCCTACATTAAATCTAACACAAAATCAAACTCTTCCATCTGTATAATAATCACCATCAAGAGGAGATGGACTTGAACAATGAAATATCATGTAATTGGCTACAGTCACTAATCATTTTAATTTATAAAATTTACCTCAAAGTTTAACCATGCAACCTTTAACAGCCATTTTATTCTATTTAATTTGTAAAGCTAGAAAAGTGCCAACACCTCCCCTGGTTCTTTTCATTGTTAGTAACTCAAAAAATTGTTATAGCCCAGTAATCACTGCACCACAAATAGATTTTAGCATATTTGTGTGGAATTCTGACCTCCTGCACACAAAGAACACATGAAGAAGCAACGTGCCTAAACTCTCACCTTGCATTGCTTAGTGTGGTGCTGAATACCTGGACCATACATTTCTGACTACGTGTTTTTAAATTTCTCAAGGAATGTTTGGAATAGCCAATGACAGCCTGAAGGCTTTGCAAGAAGTAAAATTGTTATTAACTTAAACCATGACAAGAAATAGCAATGAGAATATCTTGACTGAATATTTCTTTCCATTTACAGTTCAATGAATTTCTATCCGTTAAAATGATAAGTTGCTCAAGGGTTGACCTCAGTTTGAAAGACTGAATTAAACTCTATGATACCAACAAAACCAAATCTAAGTTGCTAAAGATTTCTTAGATGCACAACATGATATTTGCACACTGTCACATGCACATCAGTCATTAGTTCAGTCATTAGTAAGTCCAGTAAAAATATTTTTAATATTGTGTCCATGAGAAATGATCAATCTCACGAATGCAATTTTTGTTACTAGATATTATGCATGCTATTTTCCCCTTAGCTAAAGTTGACTTTGTCATGGGAATCTCATCTGCAAAAAAACTGCTCTTAAAATGCTGCCAGAGATCTAAAACTTATGCTAGAACTGCAAGTCAGATACTAAAGTCTGGCTGGGAGATCAACTGGACTCATCTTTTTAGCTCAGCATCTTTAGCATTCTAGTGAAGTGGGAACCTGTAAGCAGAGTTAAACGTGATACTAATGAGTAGCTAAATGCAGCAGTGTTGAATGTTGAATACCTTGAATGTTCTTCTCATTCATCACCTCCATGCTCAGGACCTTTATTCAAAAAGAAACTTCAGCTCCTTTCAAAATCTCTCTGGCTGTATTATGGTGTTCAAAACTGTCACTCTACTCATAGAATTTTCATGCTAAATCTTATGTTAGCTCAACTACGATGCAAGTCCATTAAAATAATTGGGTGTAAAGTAAAAAAAATTCTGTCTTGTCCTGACTAATTATCCAATTGCACGCTTAATTCCTGCCTCCATTATTTTGTCAAAGGGCTCACCTTTGACTTATCTGCTGCTGCCATGCAAAAATATTTGTGCTTAGTGAAACCAGTCCTCAGCTGTATAACAACTATTAGTTTACGGCTATCATTTTTAAAAAAATCAAAGTTGAGATCAATGCATTGTCTCCTGAATTTTCATGCTATTTTCTCTTCAATTTTTAAGTATTTAGTTTTATAACAGTTTTCACAATGGTCTTCACTTTTTTTATTCACATTAGTACAAATAAATCTGATTGCCTGTGCTAGTACTAACTAGTGTGCTAATTTCATGAGATATTGGTCCCTAATGCAGTTATATAATGTGCATCAAAGTTCAAAGCAGCAAATAATATAATTGTACCAAGCCATGTTTTCTGCTGGGTAAAAGTGAAACTTTGGCATTGTTGTTGAGACTGGCAGATTGCAGCAGCCTCTTCTCTATTGTGGACAGAAAGCAAACAACCCTGGTAGTTATAGGATGGCCAACATTTGTAGTCCAAATTGTCTTGAATGCGAAATCCTTCATATATCTTATAACCTGAAAGGCAGTAACAGAAAAAGTGTTACAACCTACACACTTCTAATTTCATGCCCTGAAATCACATTCAAAAATTTGAAATATATCAATTCAGAATTCGAAATCTGAAATTACTTTGTACCGTAATTCATTTAGGAGTTCCAAACATACAAGTCATTGAATTGGTCTCACTTAATGAGCATTTACAAGAAAATAAAGCCTTTGAAAAAACCTGCATATCTGTCCTATGAGTTGAACAATTTTTTTTAGTGGTTTGTTCTGGAATTAATGCCACAGCCTTGTGATATAAAAACACAAATACATAATGTATATGGGATTCCAATTTACACCGTTGTAATACCATAAAGCATTCACTGGACTCAATGGAATCTTATTCTTTCTCCACATTGGTAAATTTCAAACAGCAAACAAATAACATATTTAATAGACAGGCACAAAGCACAGGTATTAAAACAGCATTCTTTATTTCATGGCCAGACTTCAGTGCGTGATACGAATAACCATATCTCCAATTATGCTTGAAAGAAATATTGGGGTCTATGTTTTTTTTCTGATGGTACAGAAGTGTATTTGGCTCATTTATAATGATGCAAGTTTACATCAGCTCCAATACAAAGAAACACATGATTTCTTTTCCATCCAAGTCTGTCTAGGTCAATTTCTTATAGAAGGCTCTAACTATACTGTTGATTCACGTAACTGCAGCCATTCTGAGATCAGTTGCATTTAGAATTTCTATCTGAGAAGTCTTGTTGCCCCTACTGAAGGAATAATAAATTGGGGGAGAGTTAAGAATATTAAATTCACATCAGTACCTCCCAGCCAGGACTGAGAATGATTAGTGTGGTGCAATCCAGATTTGTAAAGATATAACACTTCCTCAAAAGCTTCGAGTGTTTCATTAATCCCATATTGTAGTTCACCTGAGGGCAAAATAAATTCCAATCAATTATTAGTGTCGTGAATACTCTGTGGAATTAATGCAAGATAAGGGAATAATTACCTGTTGCGTTCATAATTTTCCACAGGAGAGGTCTTAAGGTAGAGGGTGCACTATAGGGCAGCAGGTATGTAAAAAAAAATCTTTTAAAAAGAAGTGGAAAAACATTACTGGAGGAAATACAGTCAAGGCAACATAACACTGAAAGATTGTTAACACATAGCAACAATATAATGTTTCAGTGGTAATAACAATAAATTGTCAGTGTTCACTTTCATTTGTCCACTGAAGTTGACAACAATTTTGGGGGAACGCACATGCACAATAATGTGATGTAAAGGTTCTGTCAGTGAGACCATTTCTCCAAAGAATGCAGGACTGAGCCAACACCACTCTGCCCTCCACCACAACGTAAAATCATTCAAATTGAAGAAAATGTTCAACTATGCTGCTAATTTTATTGCAAAAAACCGTGAAAGATATGCACCCTGTTGAATGAGATGATGCTAAATGGCCTTCTACTTCATAATTGCTAATAAACAGCGTCACTGACCTTGAGAAACGAGTTTTATATTTACGGAACATAAAATTTCTCAATACTGATTTTTAAAATTTACATGTATTAAGCTAATGTTAAATGTTGCTTTAAACTTCCATCATAATCCAATTGAGAGATTCGATTATTTTAACAGCCTGGTTTGCTGTTTGTGGTCATTTTCTTGCTGACACCACTGATAGACTCTCCTGGCAATCCCCACTAATACCACCAGATTTAAACTACCATCAGGAAATGGGAAAACAAATTCCAAAAGATTGTTTAGACCTTTGTGGGTCATTGATTCACTGGCGTCCTCAAAATCTAGGTTGCTATGGGGACAGAAATGACCACTTCTGTTTACCCACTATATCAAAATGACAAGGGTACTTCGAAAGTTAAAAACGTTTTGAGAATGTGTGCGAATTTTCATCATGATCGTGACAAAGCCCAGCTTTGATACCTGAATGCGTTGTAAAGATTTCTCTTTTCGTTTATTTTATGACATTTCCCTTCTGCTGCACATCGGAGACTGAAATTCCTGGTGGGAAATTCAAGGACACAGTCGCTGTCTGTCTTACAGGAAAGTTCTTCCGTGCTGACATCATCCAAATCCGTCACTTTAAGCTCTCCGTCCACAAGGACAAATTGACGCGGTTGGAAATCTAACAGAAGCACCGATCCAAGTGGCGAGTGAGCTAAGTAATGGAGGAGCTTCACTAGACTCAGACAAATCTGAAACACAGTGCAGAACAGTCGAGCACGCAACTCATCAGGAACCGAAACGGTCGATCCGCGAACATACAGGAATCAAGGTGGCATCTGCCAAACGGCTCCTGGGCGCTAACCGGCATCTAACATTGCAAATGTTGTCTGAGATTTCTTTTGGAGAATCAGCAAATACACTTTGGAGTTTGGTTTGATTTCTTTTTAGTTTGCCTTGCTTTAATATTAAGTTGCACTTATAAAATCTCTACTTGCCACTTATCTATGGTGTGGGGGTTCTGCGTGTCGTCCGAATTGAATACAGAGCAAGGGAGAATAGGACAGCTACTGCCGATACCCAGGCGTGCAGAATGGGCACTTGGGTCAGATACCGCCAAAAAGTCGTATTCTTTAACGACGAAGTGAGAAATTCACGGGGCATTAGTAGGCACTGTTGCTAAATGTGACATTGAAACATAAACTAAACGAGTCTTCCAACCAAATTTTTTTAAACCGTCTTATGGTATGAAATTGCATGAACGCCATTCTCTTCCTGAATTCAGTGCGTTTGCCTGACTAAATAATAATTTATCTTACCGATAGAGGCGGTTTCAACAGGATATTTTGAAACTGTCAAATATCAGTTTTACTACCACATTGTCCTCGGTAATGATAGATTCAGAAATGATTTTTTTTCTTTGCATCTTCTCTTTACGATAATTTAAATGAGTTTTTTTTCCCCCAGGGACATCTATTCCATATCATGTAATTAACCCTACTCCTACTTGGTTTAATGCCCAGAAGGTATTGATAGTTAGGCTTCCATTTCTTACCCTAAATCTCTCCTCCCAGGGAGTTTGCAAGAGTTGAATCATTTCCACTGGAATTCCCCGCTCCGTCACCGCGGTAATTACAGGTCCATCTTCCAAACTGCCGTAGTAGCACTGACCATATAACTGTACAGGTAAAAGGCTACATTAAATAGGAATCACACCCTGAATACCCGGTAAAAGACGAAAAATCTAAGCAATATCTACATGTCAACATCTTACAAAGTAATGATAAACTTGCTTGACCATGTGTTCTGTTCAGCAAGCACAGAAGCTCCATGTATATAAAGCCTTTAAATATTGCAAACAACAATCCCAAGGACTTCACAGAAGCGCAAATAGACAAGAAATATAGAGCGAACCAATGTCATACCATCAGCTTATTTAAAGACGCAGATAGAGTCACAGAATGTACAGCACGGAAACAGAACCTTCTGTCCAACTCGTCCATGCCGACCAGATATCCTCCATAAATCCAGTCCCAAGATATTAAGGAGCGTAATAAAGAAAAAGAATAGTGAGAGTTTAAACTGTACAGAGCTTAAACTCAGAACCTAGAGTTTTGGGATGATTTCTGTCAAATAACGATGTAATCAAATTATAT